TAGACGGCCTGATAGGGACGCCAAATGAAAGACGCATACTCAAGCCTAGATCTCACTAACGTGACATAAAGAAGCTTCAGAGTATAGGGATCCTTAAACAACTGACCATTACGACGTACGAATGCTAGCATTGCATAAGCTTTGGAAACTACGTACTTAATATGGGTTGCGAAGGTTAATTTTGAGTCGAAGTAAACCCCTAAGTCTTTAACCTCTGCGACATAACTAAGTTCATGGCCCCCAATATTGTAACTAGTTTGAACGGTAAGAAGCTTTCTGGTGAAAGTGGAGTAGGAACATTTACTAACATTTAAAGATAAGGAATTAAGAGAGCACCAAGAATGCAGGTTATTAAGCTCAGCTTGCAGCAAAAGAGAGTCTTGTGAGGTTCTGATTACTGAGTAAACCTTTAGATCGTCAGCATATAATAAATACTTAGAAGACTGGAAGCATGATCCAATATCATTTATGAATAAGACAAATAAAAGAGGGCCCAAGATACTGCCTTGGGGAACGCCCGACGTAGCTACAAAAGGAGTGGAGAGTATGTTATCAAAAGCAACTGTACAACACCTATCGGACAGATAGGAATTAATCCGTTCCAGAAAAGTTGAGTGAAAACCCAATCGCGATAACTTGTTAATTAAGACTTTATGCGAAACTCTATCGAACGCCTTCGAAAAGTCTGTGTACACAGCGTCCACTTGTAGACCTGACTGCATCGCAGCGACACAGTCCTCCATGAATGTAGCAAGGTTGGAGACAGTTGACCTCCCACTAACAAACCCGTGCTGGTAAGGGCAAATTAAACTTTTCACTGCGAAGTTGAGCTTCTGTTTGACAACTGATTCCAAAACTTTTGATTGGATTTGACCTAAAGCTTCACGTTTCTTGTTATTCCTAATTGCATTTGTCTCACCACTGAACACTCGGTAGATGGAACAGCAGCTTAGGCAAACACGCAGTGCTTCAGTTAGAGGTAGCGGCGCAAAGTCAAGAGGGACCGGGAGGAATACCAGTCCCGCTATTAATCCTCCGGTGATGCATTCACCTGTTGCTGACCATACGAGAGGAGTGCCGCCTCCAATTCCAATGGCCAATCCCGCTCCGGGACTTAAGGTTGATAGCCGTCAAAGTTCAAATTTACTTGACACTTCACCACCTCGGACTTCGGTCCAGAATGTTTCCGCTACCTCCATGACTATGCTTTCGGGAAGACAGGAAACGGTAGGTCTTTGCCAGGGAATACCGGTTTTGGTGAAGGTATTGCAGAAGATAAAAGTAGACGTTCTAATGGCGGAGCGCCTGCAGGAGATTCGTGGGTAGGAGTGCTTCATCAGCTCTTACGTACTTCGCAAGAAGAAATGAGAGCTGAAATGCGAACAATGCGGGAAAATATGAACGCATTAAGTGCAGTGGTAACTGTATCTCAAACTGCACCCAATGGCCCTAGGGACTTTGCTTCTATCGGACGCAATCCGACACAAGCCACTTTGAATAGTCGACCAAATTTTACCACCACTATTGTCCTTAAGCTACAGGATTGGATGGTATCCTATGACGGCACCGGTAGCGTTTCCGATTTTCTCTTCAAGCTAAATACGTTGTGCGAGCGCACGCGATGCTCAGATGATTAGTTGATGGCAAGCTTCCACCTATTTTTGTCAGGGCGAGCTGAGGAATGGTATTGGTGTTCACTAAGCAGAATCCAGATGCGACTTATCCCTTCTTGTGCTATTCTATCAGGCGGGAATTCGGCACCTTAAAGAGTGACCATGAGATCATGATGGAGATCTTAATGCGTCGTCAGAAGGCTTATGAATCGTACGATACGTTTCATACAGTTATATTAGCCTTGATCTTGAAGGTCTAGATAGTTTAATAAGGTACAAAGTATTTTTAGAGTTTACATATTTGTTTCAATTCATTAAATTTCTTTGAACACAATTATATAATAATCTATAAAATTATTTACTAAACATTTTTAACTACTTGATAGGTAGCGCTTTACAGTAGCTGTATAATAATTTTTTAAATTTTTTGGTATTATTGCAGTTTTTAATATCAATTGGCAGATCATTATATTCTCTAATTCCTTCGTAGTATATACTTTTTTTATCGAATTCGGATCTCACTACCGGCAAGTAAAAGTTGTTATTGTGTCTTGTTTGATAGCTATGGACCTCTCTATTTAGTCTGACACGTTCACTTAGGTAATTCGGCAGGTTTCCCAACTTTATGTTGTGTATAAACTTCAATGTGTAGTAAGTCATGTTCTGTTTTACACTAAGCCAGTTTAAGCTAACTAGTAAATCTTTAATTGGGGTATCATACCGTTTTCTTAATATGAAACGCATAATTTGGTTTTGCTTAATTTGTAGCCTGGATATTTGCGAATCAGCTAATGCGAATAGGATTGTAGGGCAGTAAATGAAATGCGGCTCGATAATGGATCTATAGACCAGTATTTTGTATTGCTTACTAATATGCTTGCATGATCGAAACATGAGCCCAATTTTTTTTGGAAATTTTCCCTTCAATGTATTTTAGATGTTCATCAAATTTTAATTTGTTATCTATAATTATTCCCAGATATTTTATTCGGTTTACTCTTTCTATAGGGGTATTTGCTATTTTTAGCGACACATTATCATCTTGAGTCACTCTAGACCCCATTATCATCCATTTTGTCTTTTCTATGTTTATTTTAAGCATATTTTGGCACAACCACTTATATATTGCCTGTAGGTCCGACTGTATTTTTGAGGCTGCCTCATCAATCGTGTTACAGCTTATAGTCAAAAGTGCATCATCAGCGAATAGTCTTATATTGCAGTATTTGATACAGTTTTTAATATCATTTATGTAAATTATAAAAAGAATTGCTGCAAGCACCGATCCCCGTGGCAATCCTATTTCAATGTCCACTTCGGGGGAAATCTTACTTCTTATTACAGTTTTCTGTTTTCTTCCACTAAGGTAACTTTTGAACCAGTTAAGCGCTATATTTCTAATGCCAATATTATACAGTTTTTTTTATAAGAATATCTCTGTCTACTGTTTCGAACGCTCTTTTTAGGTCGAGGAAAACTGAAATTGTAAATTGTTTCTTCGTTCTACTTTCTTTCCATTGTGCAATTACCAGGTTAAGTGCAGTTTCACACGAGTGTTTTGATCTAAACCCTGACTGCTCATTTATAATAATTTCGTATTTATTTAAGTAATCCAGCAATTGGTTCTTAACTACAGTTTCTATTATTTTCTCATCGCTAGGTAAGGTATTTATGGGTCGTATCTCCTCTGGTTTAATTGTTCCCTTTACTTTTTCCACAGATACAATTACTGAGGTCTTCCAGCAATCTGGAAATACACCAAATTGGAAACTTTCATTAATTACACATGTGTAGGTATAGCCTAAGTACTCCATGCTGTCTTTTAATACACCTTCCGTTACTAATTTTTTTCCTCCGTATTTGTTTTTTAATTTCGTTGTAACTCTCATAAGTTCTTCAACATCTATTTCTTTCAGTTTAAACAAGCTTCTGTTTATCTCCATTTGATTTCCATCTGCTTCGAAGATTTCAATGCTATCTCGGATTCTGATTATGCTCTCACTAAAGTAACGGTTTAATTCAGTTGCTATTTCATAATCATCTTCAATAAGAGCACCATTTACAGAAATTTTTTGAATTTGTGCTACCTCACTACTCAGATTTATGGCGTCTTTTAGATATTTCCACATTAACTTTTGGTTATTAGTATTTCTTGAGATTTTGTTTTCCATAAATGTTTTCTTTTTTATTTTAACTGCTTTTTTGTAATATCGTTTTATTATAATATAGTTATCCCAATTATTGGTTCTCTCTGCTATTTTAAATTGTTCATATTTCAGCTTATTCAATTCTGTTAGTTCATGGTCGTACCATTTATTAATCAATTTAACTTGAACTCGTTTTTTATATGTTAAAGTGGCCATTACGTCATTAAGGATACTGTTTATTCCTTGGACCTTTAGGCTAACTTCGCAGTTGTTTAGTTCAGCTAAATTGTAAGTTCTAAGGAGATTTACTAAGTGGTCTTTTGTATAGTTATTCCAACACACGCGGTTTTCATAAATTCTCATTTGGTACTTCTTTTGAATTGGTAGTTTGAATGAAATAGTTTCATGATCTGATATTTTATGCGAAGCCAAATTCGATACTTCAACTTCAGTTTTGTTACTAAAGAGTAGATCTATTCTCGTTTGCGTTGTTTCTGTTATTCTTGTATTAAAATTAATTAATTGATACATTGCTAGGGATTCGAACGTCCTAATTAGCTGGCTCGAGTATGTTGTGTGTGTATTGACATTTATATTAAAGTCACCAATAACGATATTGTTGCCGCTTTCAGAAAAGCAATCTTCCATCACCTCATTAATATGTCTTATAAATTCGGCATCACTGGTGTTTGGTGAGTGATATAACGCACAAACCCGCCACTTAGTTATACATCGTATTGTTTCCAACACAATACACCATATATTATTACCTATGCTCCTATTGAATATAACTTTGAAATCAATTTGCTTATGAATATAGGTTAAGACACCACCGGTGTGACGACTATGCGAGTCGCATCTAATATGATTGAACCCAGCAATCTCCAGTTCCGAGTCATATATGTACATCCTCCGTAGTATGTGTTTCTGCACAAAGTACAATATCTGGATTTTCTTCCTCGATCATTATTTCAACTTCATTTTTGTTAGCTGTGATACTATTAGTATTAAGATATATACATTTTAGTTTATTTTTGTGTTTCTTGAATTTTTCATTATATATTTTTTGTGTGTTTTCTGCATCTTCATTTAGTTGCTAATAACCTAATTTTTGTTTTTTTATCTCTAGTTTATTATTGTAGCATTGACAGTGCCTGTCAAATGTATCATGATTTATGTCTAAAGCTAGGTTTAAGTTTGTGTTCGCTTTTATGCAATTTAGACACTTGTTAATTGGATTTTATTCACATGTTTTATCGTTGTGTTTTCCGTGGCATTTGTGGCAAGCTTCTTCGTTTTTACAGTCGGCTGATTTATGATTAAATCCTTTGCATTTGTAGCACATTAGTACATTAATAGCATCGAAGACTTTACATCTATCCCACCCGATATTTATTCGCTCGGCGGCAAGAATTTTTGTAAAATCCTCTTTATATATTTGGATGATTGCATTATACACCTTTATGTTGCCTCGATTTCTTTCAAACTGCTTCAATACTTTCAATGAGCCTTGGATCAGGTTATTATTTTGCTTCTTTATTGATTCTATTAAATCGCTATTTTCGTATTTAAAATTCATTCCTGCAATTAAGAAGCTTGGACGAATTGAATTTGGCACTTTTATTTCATATTCTTTGCCAATGTTTTTTTCAATGGCATCTTTGATTTTTTCGCGTTCATCATTATTTTGACTATGAATCACCATTACACCATTATTTTTTGATACAATTTTCGAAATATTCAAATTTTTGGGATCAACTTTGCTGTTCAGATATATTTTCGTTTTTTCAACCGCTTGCTTTACTTTGGGTTTCACAATTATTGCAACATCGTTTTTTAACTCTGGCAATGCCTTTTTCTTTATATTGTTTTTAATAGTTTCTGCATATGACATTTGTATTTCATTAGTGTTGTTGTTCAGCTTTTTGATTTCACTATGCATCTTTTCATTGTCTTTGCCGATTGTTTCAGTTTTGTTTTTTACTTCTTCAACCATTTCATATAAGTTGTTTACGTCTCCAATTTTTTTTTCAAATAATTTCTGAGATTTTTCCATCATTGCAACACGTTGTGTATACCGCGTTTCAACTGCTTCCAATAATGACTTTATCTCATTTTGACTTTTTTTCATAGTTTCTTCGAATTCGCTCTTGTATTCGTTTAATATAGAGTTATTTTTTTTTACACTCATCTGCATTACTTGTAGCACCAGGTCGACGTTTTGTATGTATGTTATACATTCGTCACACATAAATCGTATCATGTTGTTTTTCTCACCAATAATTTTTGCGCTATATTTATCAACTCCTGAACATTGTAGGCTCTCATGGTACACTTTACCACACACTCCTTCACATGCTATACCACTTTCCCCTCTTATTGTGGAATTGCATTTTGCACACACGCCCATTTTTGCCGTTTATTTATCCGTGTATATGATCTCAAAGCTTTATTCCAAATGCATCGAAGCACGCCATAACGCGACATTTGGTTTATTGATTTTTAGCTAAAATCAATTTATAATTTGCACATATTCTTCTTATTACAACAAACATGTTTATTGTTTTATTATCACAAATAATTTATGTTTTCTCCCTTGGGAGTTATAAAACTGAATCGCTTTCTTCGAATTTCAGACAAAGCGATATTTAGCGGTTCGATGTACTCAGCGAAATTGAAAGGCTACTCAAGATGAGAGTGATTGAGGAATCGAATTCACCATGGTTAGTCTAGTGGTACTAGTCCGGAAACCAGGCAAAGTCAGGGTGTGCATAGATTCCAGGAAGGTGAACGCAGTCACCAAGAAGGACTCGTATCCGTTGCCCCATATTAATGGACTGTTGAGCAGGTTAAAGGATGCATACTTTATAAGTGGTATTCATTTGAAGGATGCTTTCTTCCAAATCAAATTAACGGAATCGTCTAAGGAAAAGACGGCATTTGCGGTTCCAGGGAAGCCATTGTACCACTTTAAAATAATGCCCTTTGGCCTGTGCAACGGACCACAAACAATGAGTCGGCTGATGGATAAGGCTATCCCTTCACGATTTTTTATTTTTATTTTTTCTGGGATGACGCCCGTGAAGAGCGAACTCTCATGAGTACTACTACACCGGCATAGTAGTATGCACGACTTGCAGCCTCACAGCTACACCTGCGTACTAAAACCTCTCCACTAACCACTCTCCCCGCGGCACTGCCATTTAAGGTATTACCTCACGGGGCTGGTTGGCCAGCAGGCTCGCTACGTTATTTAACCGGTTCTAGCTTGTTCAGATCGCCTTAGATCTTTAAGAATTCCAGAGATATGTGCGCACATTTTATGCCAGTTCTCTGCTGATTTTAACATGTAGTCTACAATGTTGCTACCCTGTAGTATATTTCGGGTTTCAGGGGCATAGCGAGGGCAAAAGAATACTATGTGTTCCGCGTTTTCAGCAAGGCCTGTGCAAGTCGGACAGTGTGGGGAATCTCCATGCCCAAATCTTTTTAGATATTCTCGGTAGGGGCCATGTCCCGAAAGAAACTGTGTCAAGTAGTAGTTTAAATCTCCGTGGGCTCTTTCCAGCCAGTTTTTAATGCATGGAATAAGCTTATGAGTCCGCCTACCCTTTTCCGATTCATCCCAACGCTTTTGCCAGATCTCCATAGAGCGACATCTTTCCTGCTCTATAACTTCTTTTCGGTTTAAACTGGTACTTCCCGCAGATACCCGCTTATACACTCTTTGCATCTCGTTTGCCAGGATATCTACGGGAATCAGTCCGGCAATTACGAAGGACGCTTCGTCAGATATGGTTCGGAATCCACAAATAGTCCTTAGTGCGCTTAGGCGATACACAGATGTGAGTATCTTCGCATGATATTTTAGGCTCATTGCCTCAGCCCAAATTGGAGCACCGTAGAGTAAGACTGAGCTGACCACTCTACTAAGCAATACCCTTCTACTATGTTTGGGACCGCCGATATTTGGTGTCATTCTAGATAAGCATGCCTGTAAATTCGATGCTTTCTTTGCTGCATACTCCAGGTGGACCTTAAAGTTTAAACGGCCATCAATCATTACCCCCAAATATTTGATTGCGGGCTTTGATATTATAGTTTCTGATCCAACACTGAGTCTTACTGTCTCTATGGCCTTTCTGATACTTATCAATACTGCCTCTGTTTTGTGATCAGCGAGTTCTAGATATCTTGATGATGATGATGCCTTCACTCTCTTTATAGCTTCGCTGGCTTTCCTTTCAATATCCTGTATATGCTTCGCTACTATTACTACAGCTATGTCGTCTGCGTATCCTATTATTTTTGCCCGAGGAGGCAAATCGATGCATAGAACCTCGTCGTACATTAAGTTCCACAAGGAGCCCGAGAACGGATCCTTGGGGTACCCCCGCGGAAACACTGTACGCCTCTATTCCTCTCTCGCTCCGGTACTTTAGTTCCCGTTCGGAGAGATAGCACCTAATTATTCTGATAATGTAATTCAGGGCCTCCATTTTGATTAGGGTTTCCATTATGTGCTGCCAGCTCGCAGTGTTAAATGCGTTTTTCACATCTAGCGTTATAACAGCACAGTAATCCTTTTTGCCTCCATGCCACCTTTTCCCTTCGACGGCCTCTTTGGCTATGTCAACCACTGATTTAACAGCATCTATTGTTGAACGAGATTCCCTGAAGCCAAACTGGTGTGGCGACAGAAAGCGTCTCTCTTCTGCGATCGATGTAAGCCTGTTGCAAATAATTTTTTCGAGGATTTTTCCCAGTGTGTCCAATAGGCATATGGGCCGATAGGACGAGGGTTCCCAAGATTGCTTATTTCCCTTTGGTATTAGGACTAGGTTGTGGACCTTCCATCTTTTCGGGAAAATGCCCTCATTAACACTAGTCTGAAACACATTTACAAATAAATCTGGCAGCTTTTAAAGCCTTGTTGGGTATTCCGTCTGGCCCAGGGGCTTTTCCGTCTTGGATCTTCTTGCATGCGGACTCTAATTCGTTAACCGTAATAACTGGGACATCAACAATTTCGTACCGTGTACAGTTTGGTACGACTTCTTTCCTTTGTGGAAATAGAGTCCTTATTATATCGCGCAGCCTTTTTGGGCACGTGATACTCGGTGCTTTCTTGCCCTTAGTTTTTGCCATTACTACTCTATAGGCCGTGCCCCACGGGTTTACGTCCGCTTCTTCGCATATTTTCTTAAAGCTTTCAAGCTTACTTTTATGGCGTTTTTTAAGCTCTTCCTCGCCGTTCTTAGAGATTGTAGGTTTTCGTTGAAGTCTGGCCTCCCTCTGCTACGCTGCATTCTGCGTCTAGCACTCAGCCACTGACGTCTAAGTGTTTTTATATCGTTATTCCACCAAGAGCATAGGGAATTTTGTTTCCTCACCACTCTTCGAGGCATAGCAGCATCACAGGCGCATGTGAGGTTACGAACCAGGTGGTCAACCTCGCTCTCTACCGAGCCAGCTATGTGTTGGAAATCTTCCATCATGCAGGCTAGGACCTCTCCATCTAACATACTGTCTTTCCATTTTGGGCCTGTCAGATTTGGCATCTGTTTGGGTCGCCTCAGAGTTATATCCATTATTATTGCCTGATGGTCGCTGTGGGTATACTCCTCACTAACTCTCCAATTAATTTTTGGGCCAAGGAGTCACTCGCCAGCGTTATGTCAATAATTTACCCAGTTCCCATTTTGCGGAAGGTGTATGTGGACCCGCTGTTTACTATTGATACGCCGAGTTGGGAAAAAGTTTCAAGCTGCAGCTCGCCTCTTTTATTTGTTAGTCTGCTACCCCATTCTGTTGCCCACGCATTGAAGTCACCGGCGATAATTAGCGGGGATTTCCCGTTTGCTTCTTCAGCAATGCTACGCAGCATAAGGGTATACTCTTCTTTTGTAAGGCTAGGTCTTGCATAACAACTAAAAATGCTAATTCCGTTTACCTCAGCTCGAACGAAACCTTCACCCATGCTGTGCCTTCTTTGAAATGCGGGTCCACCACAGAGCCATATAGCTGCACCCTGTTTACTATCGCAAACCCACGCACAGTCATCTTTACACCTATAAGGTTCGCTTATAATCGCCATGTCTGCCTGAAGATCCCTTACTGTTTGTGATAGTAGATCTTGCGCTGCTTCACAGCGATTGAGGTTTATTTGGACTGTTCTCATTTTTTCCTGTTTGTAAGAGCTTTCTTAAAAACTGGGCATCTATAACTGCCTGTAATATGGTCTATGTTCTCTTTCTTTTCCGCTCTACACAGAATACACTGTGGATTATTTTTACAATCTTTAGCGAAGTGCCCCTCAGTGCCACACTTTCTGCACTGATTCGACCGGTCAAATGTGCTACCGCAATTACGGGACATGTGGCCATACTGAAGGCATTTAAAAGAATTTTTTCAGCTGGACCCTTTCGCGGATGCGACATTTAACCCATCCTACCTTTACTTTCCCAAGCTGTATAAGTTTCTTAGCTTTTGGAGCAGGTAAGCTAATAGTAGCTGTTTGAGTGCCAGCATAAGCAGGGCGCAGACCAGTTATATCTGAACTCTCAATACCTTCAAGACCAGGCAATGATTTAATAGCATTGTATACCTCTTCTTTGGTTGTAACCTCATCGATGTCTTTACATTCTACCAGGATTCGGTGAGTAAATGTCTTTACCGAAGCATCGTCCCCTAGGGTAGTACTCACAAAGGCCTTTAATTCCGCCGACTTTGGGCATGATTTCGCGAGTTCGATAAGAAGATCGCCTTTCTGGGAGCGTCGTATTTTGGATACGGAATCCCCGAAACTCTTAAAGTTCTCATCACTCTTAACCTTTTTTAGGATGTCGGCATACGAGCTTTCACCTTTTTTCTCTATGATGATTGCGTCTGGCGTCAGTTTTCATGTGGTGGCAACATTCTTCGGTTTGGGCCGTTTTTCCTTCTTTTTGACCTCGGTCCACTCGCTGTCTTTATTTGCTTGCACTGTGGCCCTAGAATCCATTGTAGGCCTGTTTTCTACGGGTTGTGGACATCCCTGTTGACTTCCTCCATTCCTTCTGCGTTTATTCGCCGGGGAGCCGACAGCTTCAGTAGCCGCTCTTCTCCGAACGGAGCCAGGCCTTGCTCTTGGCCATGGCGACGTTTGTGTGCTTCCAATAACACAGACTGTCTCGTTATCTTTGCACTTGCATTTTTCTGCAGCAGCCTTTTCGTATAGAGACCGGATATTCTCGATAACGTCTCTCATCGGTTGGTGGATAG